GAAATGACAGTTGTTTGATGTCGCAGAAAAAAAAAGAAAAGAGAAGCCAGACGCCATTATGTAAGACCACTAAAAATACCAGTTTTAACCTGCACTCATGAACCTGCTCCGTCATCAACACGTTCAGATCACTGCATCCAATCTACAAGAAATCAGTTTCACTCTAAACCTTGCTTATGTTCTTCAGCCCCCTTTTAGTTACGTTACTATAAGCTTTAATTGACGATCAGGGAATGACTCTAGACCAGGCCTGCACAGCTCAAAATGTACGGCGGGCCGTAAAACATTTTGAAAAAACTTGTGCGGGCCAAAAGAATATAGATCAGGAGGAAAGCTATTAAGAAAATAATAAGAATAAAGAGTTTTTCGTTACCTCGCGGGCCACAAAGTGGGTGCTGGCGGGCCACATGCGACCCGCAGGCCGTATGTTGTGCAGGCCTGCTCTAGACTCTTAGATATTCAAATAAGTTTATGCATTTTGAAATGGTAACATTTTACTTGTCTTGATTTTAGCGTTGAAAATATCAGGATGAATGCCTTGACCCCCATGATGACTTTGCTTCTATATGTTTATTAATGAATCTAGTTTTATACCTGATGCCTTTATTTATGTTAGTGCCAGGTGATCTACATTGTCAACAACAACAACAAAAAATAAATAATTCAATAACCAATTTTCAGATCATAATTTGGCTGTACATTAAATATGACACTATAGAATATGTACAGTCAATTAACTTGTATTATTTGATATGTCAATAGTTTATGTTGTGTAAAGATCTTTCATGCATAACATAACGTCCATATACGACACAAAAAGCTCAATTTTCACCATTTGGTTAGATCGGAAAGTGAAACGTTTGTAATCCCAAACTGTAACCAGCGTCATTTTCAGAGTGTGAAAGCACTCACAGCCACGGGATCATTGGCGAGCAAAAGGTGACCCTTCCGTTGTTTATTCATGTTCCCATGTGGTCCGGCTGGACACACCACTGGACGTTACGCGACACTGGTTGTTTACCCATAACCCCCCCCCCCCCCACCTCCTCCTCCAGGTTTTAAAGTGAAAGTTATTTAATAAACATTTTTGATATGTTGATCTTTTTAAGTTGCGAGCAAAAGGTGACCCTTCCGTTGTTTATTCATGTTCCCATGTGGTCCGGCTGGACACACCACTGGACGTTACGCGACACTGGTTGTTTACCCATAACCCCCCCCCCCCCACCTCCTCCTCCAGGTTTTAAAGTGAAAGTTATTTAATAAACATTTTTGATATGTTGATCTTTTTAAGTTGAGTTGTAAAAACATGAATATCCAAATAAGCTGGTATCAAACGGTCTGTGTGCAGCTGGTATCAAATGGTCTTTGTACAGCTGGTATCAACGGGTCTAGTGCAGCTGCTAAAATGATCTTTGTTTGTGCCGATCTTTGTGCTGAGCTTTGTGCACCTGGCATGAACTGATTTTTTTACATCTGATATTGAGGGATATTTGTACATCTGGAATCAACTGATCTTTGCGTATCTGGTATCAGCTGATCTTTATGCACCTGGTTTCAAATGATCTTTGTGCAGCGGGTATCAAATTATCTGTGTTATGATCTTTGTGCACCTGGTATCGAGTGATCCTTAAAAGACAACCTTGATGGCCTGACCTGGCCATTTTAACATGCTTTTCTTGTCGCCAGCTTTGAGATGACCAGTTAAGCCACTGGTTCTCAAACCAAATGTGAGTCGCGGGCTGTATCAGTAAAGTAAAATAAAAATGAAACTTTGGCTGTAAAGTAACCTTCAGTTTTAATCAGTTTCTTAATATATTTTAAATAATTGTAAACTACACTTTTTGTTTAACATCCGTTTTCTCTTACCGTATTATCTCTATTAAATGTATTTGGATCACGGATCACATTTTTGTCTTTAAAATGGGGTCGAGACTAAAATAAAATATTAAAAAATAAAAAGGTTGGGAACCTGTGAACTAAGCATTAGTAATTTTAGCCTATTTCTACGTATATTGACTTGATTATCGCTGTCACTAAATACGTGAAAATAACGGCATATTAGTTTTAACCTATTTCTACTTGTATGGACTTGATTATCACTGTCACTAAATACGTGAAAGTAACGGCATATTGGTTTTAACCTATCTCTACGTGTATTGACTTGATTTTCAGAGTCACTAATTACATGGAAATAACGGCATGCGTTTTATAAAAAAAGAGTATCACCTCTTTCCCTTAAAGGGATGTAATCATTGTTTGGTTTCCTATAATAATTATTACATCTGAACTTTTGGGCCATTGTTGAAAAGATAATGATTTTTAAAGAGATACTTGAATAACAACAAAATGTGGGTTGATGACGTCAAAGGTTGAAATGATTACCCGGATGTCGAATTAAAAATGCTCAATATATTATTTGATGTTCATTATATTATATTTGCCTCCCTTCGTTGTAAAAAGTTTTAGAAATAAGAAATACTGATTTATCCCCCTTGAGCTTCTCAAATGCCATTGTTGTCATGATTAAAACAAGGGCTCTAATGATTACAAACAAACATTTGATTAATGATCTTTGATAATACGAGTAAATTCCGTTTGAAATAAATGATACTTTTTTTTTGAAGGACGTAAGAATATTGGAACTTGTTTTTGGTGTAGCTCTGACTGTGATCGGTGTAAGTGAATTTGCCATTTAAGCATTACAAATTTGGAATCATTACTAAATGACGAAACAAATATCTGATTTTGAATTGCGACATCTATATCTTAAAATTTGCCCTGTATTGCTTGACCAGTACGACCCTTGCTCGGACACAGTCCAGACCGGTATTTTTTTTAAAAAAGGGTTATTAAATTTTTTGTGCTACATAGTTGTTATTTTACTAAAGCTATTTTGTAAATCTACTTACATTAAGAACAGAAAAGGGAGACTACTGTACACGGTCTACACCCTACTATCTGCAGCAGTGGTTCCAAACCTATTTGTCTCGCGGGGCTCTTTTTTATAACAAATTTCTAATATATGGGGGGGGGGGGGGCTAACCTATTTCTTACAAGCTTCATACGGTTTTTATTTAGTTTTTTTCCTGGAGCGGCCGCGGCACTTAATGCTCCACGAAGCACAGGCTGGGAACCACTGCTCTACAGTATAGCTTAGCTGCCCTCTAGATGTTTCTGTAATAAAACATCCAGTTTGAATAATCTGTCTTCCTTCTTTATTTGAATATTTGTTCTCTATAGCGCAGTTTCTCATCACACAAATGACGTTCGTCTGTGTGTGTGTGTGGTCGTGTGTGTGTTTTGATTGTGTATTTCTTTTGTTTGTCCGCTGACGAACGCTTCCTGCTGACACGTTCGTTTTTTTTTTTTTTTTGTTTTTTTTTTTTTTTTTTTTTTTTTTTTTTTTTTGTTTTTTTGTTTTTTTTTTTTTTTTTTTTTTTTTTTTAATAAAACATCCAGTTTGAATAATCTGTCTTCCTTCTTTATTTGAATATTTGTTCTCTATAGCGCAGTTTCTCATAACACAAATGACGTTCGTCTGTGTGTGTGTGTTGTCGTGTGTGTGTTTTGATTGTGTATTTCTTTTGTTTGTCCGCTGACGAACGCTTCCTGCTGACACGTTCGTTTTTTTTTTTTTTTTTTTTTTTTTTTTTTTTTTTTGCGTTCCTAATATATAGGTTTTCCCATACTTTGTTTTACTCATTTCCTTTATTAAAATAACAAAACATAGAATTTAAGGCCCAGCACACAGCGGTGTGTTACTTAACTATTTTCCTGGGTGTGTACGCGCTTGGGGTCACCCACAGCAGTTACACTAAGAGAGTGAACAAGACAAATAGAAGTAGGACAAGAAACACAGCACAGTAAATAGAGATCTCCTTTGTTGTCGTCGGAAAGTAAGATGATGTTCGTCCCGTTTAGCGCAAAAGGAAAACGGATGTTGATGAAGTAAGCAAATGTGATCTATCCGAGTCTGTCTTAATGAGAAGACTTCATAGATCGATCTTTAGCTGGTCGACCGTCCAACACAGCCGACTGTTTCATTTAGTATCCGAAGAGAAGAAGATTTTTGTTTGTTCGTTGGAGATGGCACAACACATGTTCTGAACATGGGAAGTCATGGCGCCGGCACACTCAAGGTAAGACAATGTTATAGCGTAATGGGTTATTTGTTATCAATGTAATTTATATTAAAATGCATAATCTATCATACTGAACGGCCATCAAAACACACAATCTCTTTGTGATAATGAGCCTTAAATGACGCACAGGCGGCTGGTGCGTACAATTTCTTTTAAAAAAAAAAAAGTATTTTTCACATTAATTTAAATATTATATTAAAAATCTGCGTTAAAAAGGGATGGTACATAAGAATATAAATGGGACAAAAATGGGGCGGTTGCTAACCCAAAGGTTAGTAGATGGTAAGTACAACGTTAGAAGATGGTAAGTTCACGCACTGCGACCGCAATTATTTGGCGGGTTATAGCTAGTATATATATATATATATA